TGGAGCATCCTAGGATGATTTTCGCTGCTTTCATCTGCGCCGCCTCGAGTTCTTTCACTACCTTCTTATTTCCTTCCCCAGTACTCCCACTATCCCATCGTTCAGCCGCTTACAGAAGACTTTTCCTACTGTGTTCAACATTGTGATCCCCCTGTAGTTTCCCGGGTCAGTCTTGTCTCCTTTCTTAAACAAGTTCACAACCACTCCTTCCCTCCATCTACTTGGCGTATACTCGTTTTTCCACACCCAATTGTATAGCAGTACCATCAGCTGGATCATCCCCTTCCCCCCAAACTTCATGAACTCGTTGACTATCCCATCCGCTCCTGCTGCTTTGTGGCACTTCAGCTTGTTCACACACGCCTCAACCTCGTCCTCAGTGAACTCCTTTTCTAGTTCTACAGCCCAAGGTCTGCCTTCGATGTCTCTTCTTCTTGCTGGGCCCATGCGTCCACCTCCTTCTTAAACGCTTGGTCAAAAGCTTCATTCTCCGAGGGCACTCCAAGTCTCTTGTAGTGTCCTGCTAGAACTTCCCTTTTTCCCTTCCCACTGCTGACTAATCCACCGTTCACACCTCGCAAAGTTGCNGACCATCCCATCCGCTCCTGCTGCTTTGTGGCACTTCAGCTTGTTCACACGCGCCTGAACCTCGTCCTCAGTGAACTCCTTTTCTAGTTCTACAGCCCAAGGTCTGCCTTCGATGTCTCTTCTTCTTGCTGGGCCCATGCGTCCACCTCCTTCTTAAACACTTAGTCAAAATCTTCATTCTCCGAGGGCACTCCAAGTCTCTGGTAGTGTCCTGCTAAAGCTTCCCTTTTTCCCTCCCCACTGCTGACTAATCCACCGTTCACACCTCGCAAAGTAGCTACCCCTGTATCCCCCCCTTGCCCGGTCTTTTTTACCATTCCACTAATCCCTTCCCCCATCTGCTTGACAGGACGGGGGAGCACAAAAAACGATCGGGGACGGGGAGGAAGGCGACAGCAGTGGCAGCGGCAGTGACAGCGAAGACGAGAGGTGCGTGACGTGCACGCGCACGGGCTGGGGTTTGTCAACCCTTGGACTGCTGGTTATTTATCAGTCGTCGTGTGCTGCGGCTAGGGTTAGGGCTCTGTTTATGGTTCGATTGCGAGTCAAATCTTGAGTTGCCGTAGAGCCTCGTCGGTGGTATGATAGTTATTAAGAGCAGCGACTCCTTCTCCACCCTTGCCGCAAACACGCGGTTCATAGCGCTCCTGTCCAGGGCCTCTTGTGGTGCCTAGAGGTAGCACTGCCGTGACGCCCCCGATCCTGGTGGCTTTGGCTAACCAACAACCCGGTGACTAACATTGGTGCCCTCCGGCAAACCATGTCCGTGACCAATCTTGTAAAACAAAGCGCCGATACCCATGACGTCGAAAATCCAAATCGAATAATTGTGCGTGTTTCGTGAATTGAAGTTGACGATTCTTCACGGTGTCGGGTGTGCGGATGAAATGTTACTCTCTAAATATACCATGGTGAAGCTCGTCCCGCCAACACAGATATCGGTCATGCTCAAACTGTTGAGCATACAAACTCTCATTGTTGATCTTCCCCGCTCCCGCCGTTTACGCACGTGTGCTTGGCCACGTTACGTTGTCTACCTACCTACTATTGGTCCTTGTTGTCCTTGCCCCTTCCAGCGACGAGGAAGACGACTAAGCTAAGAGCCTCACATCGCATCGGATAGACAGCATCTGGAGGGTAGCGTAGACGGGCACGGGCTGGACCCTTGGTGGTGTGACTGATGAAAGAAAGTAGCTCTCATGACATGACATGAAGACGTTGTCGCGATGCGGGATGCAACACCATCTTGGTGTACAGTAGTCGCAGATGAAGAGTAGCCTTTTGTGCACGAGTTTCGGAGCTTGTGCTCGTTCGGTTCGTGCGTAGACGGATGGGATTGCTTTTGCAGGAATGCCACAGGGTGCCGCCTTGAGAGTGGGTAGTGTAGGAAAGATGGGATGATTATGATTTGGAACAACGTTTCTTTGCGGGTGTGGTCAAGCCGAGCAGCGAGCATCCTTTCGTCTCCACCTGAACACTTTGCGTTTGGGAAGCTATCCAACACTGTCCACATGGAAGACAAGTGTGAAGAGAGCGAGCAGTGCATGTGTGTGTGTGTGCGGTTGAGGGTTGAGGGGGGGGGGGCGGGGGTAATGCCAATGTACTGCAGCTTACAGATAGTGTGGGGGAGTTTAGACCGGACTTACACGGTTCTGAACACGTGCGACGAATCACCCGAGCAACGGGTGACCTTCCACTGCGTGCAGCAGCAGCAAGCATTCGTTCGCTATTTCTTTTCTCCTCGGATGCTGTTGCAAGTAGAAGAGTAGTGTGCCGTTCCACAAGTGGGTGACTCTTTTATAGTACGTGGCAGAAGGAGGCGCCGCCATAACAGGACGTTTTTTTTGTTCGGTGGTCCTATTTTTCGAGACGAGAGCCACACCTCGTTGTTTCTCCTTTCTAATAAAGTGAATGCGTGATTATGACGAGCCGTTTTAGTTAGTACATGGGTGTCACGCAAAACTCGCGAGACGTTTGTAGAATTCTGCCTGGCCGCTTTGCACGCAAATCTCTGGGCAGATTCAACCATTTTGTCAAGATAACTCGACGTCTACAGCTAACAACATATTGGTGAAATTGAGAGCGCAAGCATGAAATTGAGAGCGAGAGCCAAAAAAATAAAATTCGGGTCCAGACGCCTCTTGCCATTTCTTGGGAAGTAGGGGGCGGGCTCTTCCAAGAAGCGGCGCAAATTAAAGGTCTCATCAGCAGCGTCACGAGCATATGCGTGTCATCGTCATCGGATGCTGCAGCTAGGAGCTAGTCAAGTTGCTAGATTTCCCCAGATTGGCTATTCCTGCCTCAAACTGTTGCAGGGCGATTTGGCCTCGGGCGGTGGGCTCTGCTGTAGCTTCTGCTCGCCGCTCTAACTCCACATCGAGAGACTCCCACAGGATGACCAGGGGTATCTGCTCGTAGCTACGGGCTGGCCCTTCAATTCAAACTACACAGCAAGCTCCACCTCTCAACAGCAGTAGTCCAGCTGCAGCGCATCGCGCAATCTCGCTCTCAATTTCACCAATATGCTGTTAGCTGTTGGTGCTCGACTAGGGAGCGATCCGGAGGCTCATCTACCAAACAGCAGTAGAGTGATGGCAAATCAACCACGATATCTCCAAGCGGACGTAGATACGACTTGATAGGAGAGAGCGTCCACCTAACGCCAAGTTGGCGTTGTATTGTACATCACGAAACACTCTTCAAGACAACAATACAACACGCCCGGCCACCACCACAACACGCCAAAAAACAAAAAACAAACCGGCTGAGCATATGTACACGAGACCATCGAACACACGACGGGGCACACAAGACGAGGCACGAGGCAAAAACACACCCAACGCCCAACACTCAAACCAACCACACGAGGACAACTAGCTCCAAGAAACGCCTGTGAAGCAAACAGAATACTCCCCCCCCCAACCGGGACAAGCCCTCGTTACAACAATTGTGCAGCGATACACCAGGCCGGGTGCGCACAGGCGCTTTACAGCACCGCATTGAATATCGTGGCTCGATGAATGACGCCACACACTCGACGTTCAGCGCTCCGCACCAAGACAATCTAAATTCCCGAACCCCCCCCAAAAAAAAATCGACTAATGGGAGGTCTTCCTCGTCGTGAGCAAGTCAACGGCGAAACTCTCTTCGCCCAAATGTACTTTTGTACCTAACAGCGACACACACCCCCTGTTTCGTTTTGGTATCGTCTGTGTGTACAATATGCAGCATTACTTTGTCTAGCCCACGCGTCAACAGCCATGTAACTTTGAATCCATCGTCGAGAGCACTCATTCCAAGGTCTATTCGAGCGCAGAGTATCCCCTGTAAAACGGCGGCGAGGACAACGTACACAGGAGGGAACACCACAGAGTGTAGGGCCTGATACCTCGAACAGAAAACAGCAGCTCCACAAATCTCAACGCTGGACTTCCAGCATGATTCTAACCGTTCAATCACTCTGCACCAGAACCCGTGTCCTCTGCAGAGCCCGGCCTACAGGGTCTTCTTCGAAGACTTATCGGCCGTGTGGCCGGAACGGGTTGCCGCTGGCTTGACGCCTGAACCATCCGCGGAGCAGGAGCCGCCCTCGCTTCTGAAGCACTGCCCCGCGGGGTCAACGCCACATGATTTTCTGCCGTTGAGGTAGACACCACCCAACGTCGGTCCGGAAGCAGGGGACAATGCTGTTGCTGCTGCTGCTGCCAGGGTGGAGAATCTGGAGCCTCTGGTGATACCGGGGGAGGCTGCTGTCGCAGTAGCAATGGTGATTGTGATAGCGGGTCGCCTCCGGAGGTGCCTGTGCCTGTCGGGCATGACACACCTGCACCTACACGTTACGCCGGGAGAATAGAGGGGGCGGTTGGTTCGACGGGTCGAATCGGGGTTCTCTGTTCGCTTGTGAAAGTCCCAACAAGATAGAGGGAGGGGAAGGATAGACGTACGCATGCGTACATAACATGTATTTCAGAAACACGGATCGAACACCAGGTCGCGGCCCGTATGGTATGCATACATCATATTTAATCCTTTCCTCCCAGCCTGGCCGTGCTCCGTGCTACTCTGCATACAGTAGCAACGCCTGCCTGGCTTGGCGAACACTCAAACCGTAGGCACGATTAATCCCGGCTTCGTAAACGAGGTGCTTGTATCATCCATACTGTAGGTCTGAACATCTGTACGTACTGTAAATGGTACGGTCGGCGGGTACTTCCGGAGTACACACACTTCGGCAATCAAGAGACAATAGGTTCGTTGGAGAACTGCTGTGTGCTTGTTTTACCAAGACGTTGTTGGATGTTCGCTTTCCCCAGGACATCTGACAAATGATTTAACCGCGACAGAATGGACACCTTGGCGATCAATATCGATTCGGCACAACGGTCACGTGCCCGCGTAGCCGAGTCATGAGTTATTTTTTTCTGATGATGCAAACTGAACACACAACAAGCGCTCGACAGAGATCACGGAACGAGGTAAGGAGTATCAAGGCTGGAGGTGAGCAGGTGCTGGTATCGCGGTTTGTTGCACGTATTGCGGCCGTCTCGATGGCATCTTGGCCAGTTGCGGGATGTCGAAATTGCCAACACAGATCATGCATGACACCCAGTGCGTCGGTGACTGATGCGTTACGGCGGTTGAAACGTAATGTTGCACTGGCTCTCATGTTGTGCCCACCGGACAGTTGATGAAACGTAAACGCGTACGCACATGCATCCAGCAGTAAACGCCACTTTCGGGATCAGGGTTCAGTTTGTAATTCGATATTTCGTTGCCACCGTCGAGAGCGGATGTACACTAGAGTATATACTAACCTCTGAGGGAGATGTGCAGGATCCAACATTGAACCGCGTGTCTTCGTAACCGCAATTTCTTAACATTTGTTTCAGGAAGCTGTTACAGCCGACCGATCGCAACAGACATCACTTATCTCTCAACGACGGGCGGTGGGGGCGGTACTGCTCCTGCTACTGCTGTGTGTGCATATATACTGCTGTAGGACACTCCGAGCAGTTGTTGTTTGTCATCCGAGTCTGTGTGTAAAAAGTATTCACTACCGCGCACGGCACGGCAGCGCATGTTGCGCCCTCCCTGTCCCTACGAGAAGAGAGACTCAAGGCGAGTCGAGTCAAGTGTGCTTTGGAAACAACCAACCAACGGTACAGCACAGTTGAATTCACAGGTCCACGCCAACACCAACCGTCTTACTATTCCTTGACTTCAATTCAAGTCCAACAAGAGGTGGTGCCGACGATTCCACGAAACGCTGATGTTTCTTAATAATCTACAAACAAAGCGAGCTGGAATTCCCACGTGGCATGAGCTTACTCCCCTGTCTCCGGAGCGATCATGTCTGAGCTCGGCCTTTGTTTCCTACCATAGAATGGAGAACGGCATGCCGGACACTGTATCCTACATACATACATGTGGCACGTGTGGCGTATGCAACAAGGTACTGTAGGAATACTTGCCGAGACCGATGGCTCAATGCTCAACGGTTCGCACCTGGCAGCAGTGGCCGTGATAGAATGGCAGTCCTCTGGCGGTGTAGCTCGTTCTCCTTTTCCTGCAGCTGGTGGAGACGGAGCCACAGCCTGTCCTCCAGCCGTCGGAGATCTCGCCGCTTACAGCAGCAACACATGGACTCGATACCACAGCTGCTACAGAAGTGGTCGTCCGTTACAGCAGTATCATCATCGATCACGGATGCGGATGTATGGAACATGATGCGCGGGCAGACAGCATATATTGTCAGAATTGAAACGCATGTAGTGAAAGCATACAGCGGCAGCGGTGTCGTGCTTTTCGCGGGGAGGACAGAGAGTTGCGCGACAGGACAGAGTGTTCACCGAGAAAGAGCGGGACAGCCAGGCCGAGAGTCTCTACTCGTACCTACAAGCACGCAAGATTTGTTGATTTGTAAGCTTGCAACAGGGTTGTGCTAGCTGCGCGAGAATTTCAGCGGCACGTTCAACTTGCAGACACGTAGGACAAACATTGGCGCAACGCACACTATATCACGTGGTCCGGCGGCGCACCTCGGTTAGACCTCGGTGTGCATATGCCACCGGTCGCCCCTGTGGTCTAGTGGGTAACCTCGCAGCCTGCTAAGGGCCAGGTCATGGGTTCGAGTCCCAGCAGAGTGAGTTTTTTTCTCAGTAAATCCTGGTCTAGGATGAAAGCGCCGCGCTGCAAAGCTCGTTGTTAGTAAACCGTAATCGACTTCGTAAGTCGCGAGGGAAGGGATTGCTGTACCCTTCTCGCGATAAAAATACCTCAGGCAGGAACCGCAGGAGGGGGTCCAGCCCCCCCCCTCGTATGTGACCCCGGTTGGGTCGTCTAGCTAGTAGAAGTGGAGGATAGGGGCCAGACGGGCAGACGACAGAGTCCAATGATGGGAGAAAACAAAAAAAATATATATATATATGTAAGCACTAAAATACCCACCACCCACAGGAGTTGTGGGGGGTGAAATAACACCAGAAAACAACGCACGACATTTGCCGGAAAGTTTTGGCGGTTGAGTTGAGGATGTGCGTGGATGAAAGGTTGGAAAGATGATATCTACTGGAAGCAATGAAAGAAAAGAACCAAGAGACTACTGCTGTACCACTCCTGTATGATGGTACCCATGATGGTAGCATATCAAGACACCACCAACCGTCCTGCCCGTGGGGACACCCAGCAGGATCAACCATTGCAAACCATTCCAAAGCTGAGCTAGCGAACGATCAAATACCAAATACCAGTGAAAAACATAAAAGTAGAACCTGAACTTGCTGCATACCATACCCCCACCAACGGCAACGGTGCAACGGTCCGACACGGCGGTCGCTTGGGCAACGCATAGCTACAGCTGTGTTGCTGTAAGCTTGTGCGAAGGGTTCCATAAAAGTTTCATGACCACCTGTAGGTTGCATTCAACTACGTGTTCGAGTGGCTGGTCAACAGTTAACAGGGAAGTTCGCATGGGATAAAATGATGTGTCATAAAAGGTTGAACCGCGGCGGAAAAAAAACACTTGCGTGAGCGACCCTTCTGTTACTCGGAAAAAAATGCGGAACGGCGGCTGGCCAGTTCATCTTCTTCGCAGAAAGTGCGCACAGGCAACAATGGATTACTTTTCCTGTGCTGTGCGCTCGCGTAAGCGCTCTCTCTATAACAAAGTGGCTTGTGCTGCTTTCGGATGTTCCGCCATACCGCCAACGAAAAAACTCTTCTTTCAATTAATTAATGTCAGCAGCACCGAGCAACACCAAGAGGGTTGTATGAATATGGCATGCTTTCTTGTGTCCTCGGGCACTGCTGCCTCTGCAGTACCATGTAGTATGCATACATCGCCGCTAATGTTCAACGCCGCAGGCATGAAGTTCAGCACGTCCTCCTTTATCTTAGTTGGTCCGTTTGCTCATACATTCATCAACGCCTGGTACATGAAGGCGTTCATCTGCCCGCGTCCGAACGATGCAATGCATCGACTGCTGCTGACCTATTTTGCATCGCATCACCAAACCAAACGACCAAACCAAAAAGCGGAAACAAACCAAACTCACCTGCTGTCTTCGCCGTTCAGATCTGCTCTGACGGTGTCGATTTGGGCAATCACCGAACCGATCTCTTGTCGCACATCCTCCAGCTCGTCTCGCATCATCTCTAGCTCAGGGTGCTTGGCCATCATTTACATGAGCTGTAGGCTGTATGGTGAGCAGCGTTTTCCGTGATGGTGCGTTGAAATGTTATGGTGGTGTATGTGGCATATGATGGTTGTGTTTGGTCTTTCATTTTTTCTTGCGCAAGAGGCTCCGTGGAATCCATTCCAAGGTGCGGCCGCGTGCGTCGGTCCACATGTCCATGTATAAATCTTTGTCGTGTTCCCCCTGCTCAGGGTTGACCGCCGCGGAGGCAGATTTGATATCAAACGCAGAGAGAAACAGCGAGAGAGAGAGAGAGAGAGAGAGAGAGAGAGAGAGAGAGAGAAAATCACACGCCTGTCGACGTGCCTCGTTGTGCACGCACGGATTGTTGAGGAGTTTTTTCTCTCGCGGGCTCGCGTGTGGCAAAACAAAGCGAAGACGAAAGGCGATTGTGTTTCCTTCGCATTTTAAATTCAAATCTGAAAAAGCGGCGGCGGCGGCGGCGGCAGCATGGACTACGATGCAGATCGTATCACGTTCACCAACCAAAATCTCGCGGGCCCCGGGCAAGACGATGGGCTTGATGACGGAAATATGTCGGCCATGGAAGCGAAGCGGCAGTTTCGCGAGTTCATTCGCAGCTACCGGGACGGGAATCTGTTCCCTTACCGCGATCAGGTGAAAACAAGAGCAGTTCGTTTGTGACAGTCTCGCGCCATGGTGCCTGCTGCCTGCTGTAACGCTGTAACCCTTCATCTCGACGGCTCTCAAGATCTTACGGGGTGCATGTGTATCTCATGTATTTTTTGACGAATGTCGAGCAAGGAACACGAGGCGCACTCTGCGCTCTAATCTGCGTTGTCCACACAGCTTGCCTCCTTCATGTACATCCAGTCCATTGGTGAGAACAAAACGGCCCACATTCCGGCGACGTCCTGTGCAGCAACCAATGGTATACGGCAATTGGCTACTCTGTAGGGCTACTGGTCGGTATCATCGCCGCGCGCGCGATGCGGCGCACAGCTTGAACGAAAACCGCATGAAAATGTTTTTCGTCTGGGCAAAACTTCACGGCAGCGTACTGCTGTCTACTTCATTACAACGCCCGTGTGGGGCTATACATGTGCAAGCACCCCGCCAACTCCAAGCTCATAGCTTGAGCGTATACACGTGCATGCTTATGCTTTGGCGAGAAATCCCTCATCGATATGACTTGAGATTCGGACGTGTTGCCCACCACGACGAGGTTCCGAGCCTCTTGGAAGAATCGCAAGGTTTCGCTGCTGAACCAACAGCGGTCCTTGAGATACATGAATATGGAACAGGTTTTGCGTCCCTCTCTTCATGTAACAAGAACTTGATTTGTCTACCCTCTTCTATCTGAAAATGTTCACATACTGACCCTGCCCAAAACCAACCATACGGTGGCACGCTATTCGACGCCGCCTCCTGCTGTTGAACTCCCGCCAACTTACGCAGCTCCTGCAGCGATACCGCAAACGCGAGACTTATCTGGAGGTAAACCTCGGCCACGTCAACGACTTTCGGCCGGACTTGCTGGACATGCTCACGCTCCGGCCGGTGGAATACCTGCCTCTCTTCGAGCAGGTTCGTGTCTCCAGCCTTTGCCGATGCTCAACCAAAGAGTACGGTGCCGCACTACTTGGCAACACTGGGAGTGCTGGATCCTGTTGCAGCATCGACAACATGTCTGTTTCGGTCTGTCGGCTATTGGCGGTGTGGTGGATACTGTGTTTGCCTCTCGACACAGCTCGTGCCACTTGCCGCCATCGCCCGTACTTCCCTGAATCCACAGGTAGTGTTATGTAATGTTATGTTCGTCAGCGGCGTTTTACCCTTCCAACGACAACAGGTGGTTGATGATAGATTTTGCGGCAGTAGCGATTTCGCAACGTTTTTTCGTTTCAACTACCAACTTTTTTCGCTCGCCAAGGTCCTGCGCTTACAATGGTTTTGACGTGCCGATACACCTTCACCCTGCACACAAAGTAGCACGCAATAAATTCTCTGTGCATCCTCTGTAGATTCCCCAAGTGAGTGTGTGTGATCGGTCCCCCTTTTGTGTCGTCATTCCTTTCACGGTTTTCTTCGGGGGGATTACGTTTGGTCTGTCTCACTCGGATCGTCAATGGCGCCAACGACATAGGCGGCCCAAGAAGCGCTCAAGCAGCTCACCACGGAGCGAGTGGAGGGAGAACCACTGCCTGAGATACAGGTCAGGTCCGCTACCGTGCCAGCAGCAGCATGCGACAGCTCTACCTTAGCTTACATGGGCGTGCGTTGTCAACACATGTTTTTTCATCACGTCATCGAACTACGAACCAACCCTGTACATGTATCGCAGTCTCCTGATGCTTGGCGTTACTTGTGTGATGCCTCCATTCCGTGCCCGGTACAAGAATCAACAATCGTTTGACGGGAGTCCAACACTAATACACGCCAGGAAGACCAAACCAGACCCAGCGATTACCTAGCTCTGCATGGCATCAAGAGTCGCCGAGGGGGTACAGTAGCGCCGACCCTGGTAAAGGCAGATGCCTAACTATGCCAACGTACGGTGTGGTGGAGGCCGCAATTCTGCCTGTCAAGGATGGGCGGTGTACTTCCTGCCGCCTCAAGGGTTCGAACTCGACTCTCACCGTGCTTTTTTGTGGTGTTGTCATGTGTTCGCGTGCTTTCTGTCACAGATCGTGATCAAATCGGAGCAGATGCCGACCGGGCTGAGGAGCATCGCCGCCGATCACGTTAACAAGCTGCTCAAGGTAATGTGTTCCGAAGTGTCACTCTCTCTTACCTCTCTGGGACAAGTAATTCTTGAACAAGGACGACGCTTGGCGCAGCGTATCCCACCAGTCCCGGATACGATAGGTGGTCGTAGCCCCGTCTTTTCTTGGCATCCTGGCTTCCTTGTGGTGTCCTTGTACGGGTCGACCGTTTGTCGTGCATCCCTTGGCATGCTGCGCGCGCATGAGAGCGACAGATACAGCAGTACTGCACGTGCTTACGGCCACCACCGGCCAGTAGGCACTCTTGTCCAAAACTCGCGGTTGATGCCTAGCACCCGCTCTCACCACCCGTACGCTGTTTTCGAAGGTCCCCGGTATCATCATCAGCGCCACCCGCATCCGTGCGAAGGCCACGAGCGTGGCGGCCAAGTGCAAGAGCTGCGGGTGCCTGAAGCAGCTCCCTTGTGTCGGGCCGTTCGGCGGTGCCGCCCTGCCCATGAGATGCGACAAGAACGGGCAACAAGCAGCCGATGGGGGAGAAGACGATTGCGGTGGGTGTGCGTGTGCTTCCACACATCTTCTCCTTGCGTGCAGCGACCGCGTTGGGCACGTGACTGTGTCCATTCGTTCGTTGGCCCCATGACATGGTGGGCGCAGAGGCATTTTAAGACGTGCCCATTTCCAGGAGACATGAGTTCGTCAAGGTTGAGCGCGCTCGGGTGGTGGTGATGGCAAAACTGGCAAAGGGTCGCCCGAAAGTCGTGCCAGGTGATGGTGCTGGGCGCAAAGGGATTTTGGGATGTGAACTCGGCAAGAGCGACTGAGCGGTCGGTAGACTTTTTTTTTCAGTCACGCAGTCACGTGCAAGTGCGCCGGCAGTTCATGCTGTAGCGCGCAACCTGCGCCCCAATTTCCCGTCTCATGTTTCCTGTTTCCTGTGGCCGTCGCCTCCTTTATTCCCTTCCTTCGTGAAACGTGACAACAGGTCAGGCACCGTTCGTGATTGTACCAGATGAATGCATCTATGTGGACCAGCAGACGCTCAAGCTTCAGGTATGTGTCTGTATGCCTACGCGTGTACTGCAGATGGGTGGCCTGATAAGCACGTCCTTAGCCGAAGCGGCTGAACTCTTATCGCATCGTTCTGTGTGACGCAGGCAGCGCTTCCTGCCGTCTACAGCTTTCAAAACACTGCGTCACCGTCGGCGCCTTGCCATGCACGCCCCTCCGCGCACAACATGTCGCACCGCTCATCGCTTGTCGCTGGCCGTTTTATCGCGTGCTGCAGGAGAGCCCGGAAGTCGTCCCGACCGGCGAGATGCCTCGCAACATCATCGTGGTTCTCGACCGAAACCTCGTGGACAAGGTGTCCCCTGGTACCCGCGTCTCCATCATGGGAATCGCCTCGTTGTACAACTCCGCCGCTGCGAAGAAGCAGGTCGGAGGTGTGGCCATTCGCACTCCCTTCATGCAGGTGGGTACCTTACATGGGAGGACTAAATGCCGCGAGGAGCACGTTTCTGGCGGCTTGCGGGGAGATTAGGTTAGATGTTGCCACCTTTGCGAGTGCTGTGGAACCAGCATGATTTGGAAGACCACCTCAACCGATGTCGTCGTCGCACATTGGTTCCTACAGCAGTCTAGGCTACTTTGGTGCACATCAGTATTTTTGTGCGTTTTTCACGCCGTGCGCGGCCTTGGTCTAGCCCCCTCTTGTGTGTCAAACCAAAGCACCGCCAAACCTTCGCGCGCCTGATCTATGGCCACAACGACGATGACTACGACGAATGCAGGTTGTGGGTATCGCGGTGGAAAGCGAGGGGGCTGGTCGCGCGTCCGTCTCCTTCACGCCGGCAGAAGAGGAAAAGTTCCTTGCCATGTCGCGAACGCCAGACATCTACCAGAAGATGGCGTCGTCGATCTCTCCCTCCATCTCCGGAGACTACACCGTCGACATCAAGCGAGCGCTGGCTTGCTTGCTCTTCGGGGGGTCGCGAAAGGTGCGGTATGTGGCACGGCACGTGGTACGATACGTTCAAAGTCTGTTGGTGGGAGTTTCCATCCGGAGTGTTGCGGAAGCCCAGCCGGGTGTGTGTGTGTGTGTGTGTGTGTGTGTGTGTGTTGGGTGTGTTCTTGTTGTGCCGTGTGGTAGAGCGAGAGAGGCGTGTCCGGGGAGAGTCATTGTGATCGATCGAACCTCATCCAATGGTCTCTTCTGTGAGCTGCATGTTGTTCCGACAAAGCTTCACTCCAGAAATGCAGTAGGGTGGACATGAGATAGATGGGCTCCAAACGCAGAGCGCTCCAGAATCGCTCTTCGCAGTCGTTTCCGGCATCTTGTGGCTCAACCAAGATCTTTCCCTGATCTCTCGCTCTTTCTCTCTCTCTCGCTGACCATTCAATAGGCATTCTTGCGGTTGTTCGTGTGTCTTGTTTGAGTGACATCCCCAAGCCTGCTCTGCTGCTCGCCTAACTCGTGGCGTATCCGTGCTCATCCTCGTTAATCCTTACTGCCATTTTCAGCACCTGCCGGACAGCACTCGTCTTCGCGGAGACATCAACGTGCTCCTGCTGGGAGACCCGTCTACCGCCAAGAGCCAGTTCCTCAAGTTCATAGAAAAGGTGAAACCGATTTAATTAAAACTCGATGCCTATGCACGCACACGAGTGTACGGCATACTGCTGTACCTTACTGCCTGTACCTCAGGTTGTCCGAGGGGTCGAGCAGTCGTCTCTGTGTCGTTCATAGTCCCAGTTCTTGGAATGTACACGAAAGTTTTTTGATAGCATGGACGTACGCATGGCATTTAGTGCTATGTACCCTGACGTTGCGGTGATGTCTCCCGGTTCGTCAATCTCATACCACGAAACACTGAAGAATCTCTAGAGAAAACTTCAAGTCGACACGGCGAAAAAGGGGAGCTGCATTGGCTACTATATGTTTATCCATATGATACAGGATGATAGTATGATGGTATGATAGATATGATGTGATCCTCGATCCGCTTTTTTTCTTGTGGGTTCCGTCGGTGCGACACTGCTAGCCGGGGCTTTACGTCTCAAAATCAAATCAGGTTGGTCAGGGGCTGATTAGTCTTGTGGGTTGATTTCATTCCGGTGTCTAAATTGCGCGCAATGGCGCTGTGGGTACCTCATCAAGTTTCTTGTCCCGTTGATTGCGCCTGAATTCCTCCTCTTTGAAGGTGGCTCCCGTTGGGGTGTATACGTCTGGAAAGGGCAGCAGCGCAGCGGGTCTCACGGCCTCGGTAATCAAGGACTCTAGAGGGGAGTTCTACCTGGAGGGGGGTGCCATGGTGCTGGCCGATGGAGGAGTTGTTTGCATCGACGAATTCGACAAGGCGAGGGGGCTTTGGCAGAGTTTGAGGGGGCGGAGGGGGGCGGGGGAGGGGAGGCAGACTGCTTTGCTTTGTCCCGCTTGCTTCCCACGGCACTTGGCGAAGGAAAAACATATTAACCTGTTGCTGGTTGCTGTCTAGGTAAAGTGATGGGAATGACTAGCTCGTGGCAATGGCGGCAAAACGCTGGCCCACCCCAAAGGATGAGGATTAGACGTGAAAGCAGCGCCCTCGATGTTGTGGTAGAACCGCGATCACCCCACCTCCATCCTCTCGACAGTTATTCGGCAGATAAGCGTTCTCTAGTACTTTTTGAAACCCAAGCTATTCCGGCGCTGAGGACCATCATGTATGTAGCAGCCTGTATTGTTGTGCGTACTTTGGATCCTTCCCCCGGGTGCTTATGCCGCAGAATATTCACCGGTACCCTCACTTTTCGGGCGCTCCGTACCTGGTGTCATCGTTGCCCCATCATATTTCATATTTTATCTTTCATCTTTCATCTTGTGACACTAAGATGAGGGAGTCGGACCGCGTTGCGATTCACGAGGCGATGGAGCAGCAGACCATTTCGGTGGCGAAAGCGGGCATCACCACGATCCTCAACAGGCATGTGTGACGCTCGCTAACCCTTACCACGGAGGACGACTTAGGGCCTTGATTGAAAATATTGACTGAACCACCTGTTAGGCATTAACATCATACATAAGTACATGGTTCTTGATGCTTGTTCCAATCTGTTTGATATGACACTATGCTACGTGTATCCATTTAATCCGCATGACGTTCATTCGATTCACGAAAGATGGGCCGGGCCCATTGTTTCGCTCTCGGCTTCGGTATCGCATTGCTGCTACTAGATTTCGACGATTTACGCTATCTACGCTTGCTACGAAGTTCCTCTCGGTCGCTGCCGTACCTCGCACATACTGTAATTATTTGCTCCGTTTTTCACTGGGGGTCTCTCTCCCTCTCTGTCCTCTTCGTGCCGACGCATTCTACCGTACTGCTGTTTCGCGTGCTGCAACAACAAACGCGTCATGGATAACCAGCCGGACGTCCGTGCTAGCCGCCGCCAACCCTATCTACGGTCGCTACGACGACCTTAAAAGTGCGGCGGAGAACATCGACCTCATGACCACCATCCTGTCTCGATTCGACCTCATCTTCATCGTTAGGGACATCAGGTATGTACGGAGTGGAAAAGTGTTGGATGTTTGGGGCACGTGTCTTTGGTATTTGGACCCGAAGCGAATGGTGCTGCCCATGACCCCCGAAAGTAGTATTCATACCTTAATAGCGGGCAGGTTCAGTTTTCGGGGAAATTTTTTTGAGCTGGTAGGGTGCAAGAACAATGCTAGAAGAAACGTGGTCTTCAGTGGCCGGGCACATGGTAGCCGAATGACGATAATCGATCGAACATGAGGCAGCGGTTCGCGTCCACGCTCTCCCTGTACAGCACTGGTACACGAAGCCCTTGAGTGTTCACTGATACTCCAACCGGACAGCAGTAGGTGTTGCTCGAAGAAGCGCAAGCACAAGCATGGAATTTAGACCTCTCACCTTCGTATGGACGCTCGGTGCAAAATGTAGTTTGTTTGCGGGAAGAGTAAGCTAGAGAGATTTTTGTGTTCCCCATATAAACGAGAAGTGTCAAGCTGCTTTCAACAGATTGGAACGCCTTTGACGCATGTTGCTCGTGTTTTTTTTTATTCCCTGCATGCAATTATTCAATCGTTCAAATCAATCCCGGCTGTCACTGATTGTCTTGGCACGACAGGGATGAGGAGCGCGACCGCAGCATCGCCAAGCACGTGATGAGCGTGCACATCAACGCCTCGGGGGTGAATGCCGGTGCCCAGGAAGGGGACATCGACATCGCCACCATGAAGAAGTTCGTCAGCTACTGCCGCCTCAAGTGCGCTCCCCGTCTGTCGGAGGCGGCGGCGACAATGCTCAGCAGTCAGGTTCGTGCGGTCGTGATGGTGTCTACAGGAGGGAGTGTTTTTGCTCGTTGGTTGTGGGCAGAGCCAGAGGCTGCTGCTGCTGCTGGTGAGATTGAGCTGTCGTTCGTGGCTAAGTAGGGTGGCAGCAGTCGTACTGGAAGAAATGCGGTTGGTATTCTACATTTGGTCGTTTTCGTTTGTGTTTTGGAATCATGCGTTGCACTAATGTCTCCCGTAGCTGTCGAGTCGCGGATGTGCCTATATGTACTCCCCAAAGCTGAAAATCCCAAACCTGAACAATAATTCAACAATATATATTGTATCATCGAGGTCCAACAATTTTGTTTCTGAAAATCCCCAAACCTGAACAATAATTCAATAATTACATAATAACATGTGACAAAGTTTGACTTGAAAATGTGGTATGCAGATTTAGCTGACCCACCAGACGAGAAGTGGGATGCATATTGCGAGAGGTTTCCGTGTTTGTCGATGATTCCGATCATAAATCTGCATGCTATATAGTGGGGATCGGAATGCTGTGCTTGCTTGGTTGCTCACAGTGGCTGGGTTCGACCATGACACTGCTATAGCTGCTCGACCCCTTCGAAACCGCTCTTCTTTTTTTTTATTCCCCGCCTTTTTCCCCCTTCGGCCTTTGGATCGAATCGCACCACGGCTATACCGTGTTCCTGGAGCAGTACGTGTCCATCCGCGAGGACGTTCGGCGACGGACGCTGGAACTCGGAGAGGATGCACAAGCGGTCCCTATCACTGTGCGCCAACTTGAGGTGAGTCGAGGAGTCTGGAAGATATAGTAGGAAGCTGAAAGCTGACCCTTTTCGCAATGTTGAAGGTGGGTGGGACTTGCGGTGAGCACATTTTTTGCCTCCCTCGCTCGACTACACGGAGCGGCTTCCTCGCTCGTGCATCCATGTACTGTACGTCGACACATATGTATCAAGACACCTGTTCAAGTCGATGTTTGTTCACTCCTTGATAAGCACACCCTGCTTAAATTCCGTGGACAACACGCGGTATTAATTACTGATACCACCTGCAGTGCATGCCGCTACCCTCGCGACCCTCTCTCTCGTTCTCATGTTGTGGCCGTTTCTGCGTACCACAGGCCCTGGTGCGTCTCTCAGAGTCTCTGGCCAAGATGCGCCTGTCTGCCGAGGTGTCGAGCCAAGACGTACAGGAAGCCCTCCGCCTCTTCAAGGTTTCGACCATGGCAGCGGCGTCCGCGGGGTCCACCGCTGGTGACCTGGGCTCCCTCCGGCCGGAGACTCAGCAGGAGGTCCGCAGGGCGGAAGACTTCCTCAAGAGGAGGATCGCCGTTCGCAGCACCGTCAACCGAAAAAAGGTGAGAACAGGAACATCCATCTTCGCGTGGGACAAGGCTAGGCGCGTTTGCTTTTGTTGTGCGTTGAGGGAGGGTTGAGGAAACGTTTGGCGGGAGGCTAGGAACACACACATTGCCGTCCACCGTCGCGCTACAATAGTTTTGGGGGATGCACAGGGGAGGAAAGTAAGGCGAAGGGTCCCGCCCGTGCAGCACCGGTACAGTAGTGGCCGTTTCCCACTGACGTGGTGGCGTGCTGGCGTGACTCTCTACTGAATCGTGTGGGCCATCGGGGTCTGGGTACTACTGTTTGGTGCTCCCGGTATGTGATACAAATGCCTCCGTTTTGTAACATTTTTTTTGTTACCATGTCCCCCCCCCCCCGTCCGGCACCTTCCCTTCCGCTATTGTCAGGTTGGGGAGGAAGCAACAGGCCAGGGACACCCGGCGACAGCAGTAACACGAGCAATAGCCATCATGGCGGTAAGAGGCGAGCTGCAAGAGAAGAACAGAGGGTTCTTGCTGTACCGGGCGCGATAGATAGATGGAACCGAGGGAGCGAGAGAATGAAGGAGAACAAGAGCGCTGACCTACTCCTCTCTGCGGCCAGTGGGTCAATCGCGTTAGGGTAGGGCATCTCAGCACGAGGTTATGCAAGTAGCTTTGAATCGAACATGACTGTTTGGGGGGGTGTCGCACCCGTCTTTTGCCTGGCAAAGAAGAGACAATGTGCATGACGGGAAGCGTTTCGTTCGTTCTTTTTTGTTCAAGTTTTGCCGATGGCAGTATTCGCTGCCATGCACTGGTCGAGGTGAGGCGAATCATAATCCGTCGTGTCCACCAGTATTTTCCTTCTTTTTTTATTGGGCAAGGCCTTTTGCGTTGCACAGGGCTTGTTTGTGCGGGCTGGGTTGTGGGTGTTGCTGTGCGCCAAAGGGGATGGACGCGTTCCTCGCACGATTTGTCAGACTGTGAGTAGAGCGTGTCACGCGCGCTATATGGGTATATGGGGGAGGCGGGGGAGGACGAGGAAAGCGCAGGAGCGGGGGGAAAATATCAACTGTGCATCAAAAAGCAGAATCCATTGTCGGCACATATTGATATGTACGTTACATTTGCCCCAGCAGTCCGAGCACGGACAGTCAACTACTGAGGAAGGCTGGCTTGAAACGAGCATTAAAGCCGCCGCGGTCATGAAACACTACTGTAATATGCGCTCGGTCACGCACGAGAGAATCAGCAGACTAAAATATTCCAGCGCGCGGACGAACGCTAACCACCAAAAATCGCAAACGATAAAGAAAGGCGAGTTGTCGCGCTGGCTGCATGCGGGTCCCAGCAAGGTGTGCGTATTTAAAAATTGAAAGAGGGTAATGAGAGGACTTACCCCACCCCGGCTGGAGGACGTGTTGCGTCCGCTTGGTGCCCCATGTCGAATCACGCTCTCAAGCGGGAAATTGCGCTCTCAGCGAAATGGTTGATGCTGCAAACAACCAAGGGTCCCGCTGCAGTGCACACGAACGAGCGTGTGGCAACTCTATTGCTGTGCAGCAGTAGGTGGCAAGGTTTTGCCGAACAAAAAAAAAAAGACACACTTTTTGAAACTGTTCGAGTTATTTGACAGCATTGTGAAGCCCCAGAGGAGCAACACCCCTCGGAAGTATGCCATCAAAGGCCAAACCAAGTCATCGCCGCCGCCCCCCACCCGTACAAAGCTCGGACACAACCGTCGAGCGAATGGCCGCGCTCCTAGGTATTCGCAAGGGCAGGGGCACGGCGAACCGAAAAACCGGCTGCCCTTCACAACGACACGAGACACAACAAACATGAACAAGAAAAAATTATTTATACTATCATGAACTCCGTTTCCCACCGCTCGCACGAAAATTTCACACGGAAAGGCCAACAGCTGGCCTCCTCGACGAACCACGTCAACATTGGGGTATCGGACCTGCACACATCGAAAATCATCCGCCGCACAAAAACATACCCCAAGTCGTGGTCACTAGACACCATCATCGTGAGCTTCAGCGCTACCGCACACCAAACGAAACCAAGCACAGTCCCATACGTATCCTTTATAACCAACGCTAGCACGAGGTTATGCTTTCACAACATTCTCTTTACCCGTGTGTAACGGATTTTTTTATTAAATAGCGTGCTTGCCAAAGAAATTCGAATGTTGATCATTTACCACATGACCTCACCTGTAGACGCAACACTACACTGCCATCTCAAAGACGAGGCCGTCCCTTTTTACAGCAGCACTGGCATGATCCGTGATCCCTCCCCCTCCTTATCCCATCCCCCAAAAACGCCTGCTAGTGTAAAATGCTGCTCTCCACCCCCCCCCCCCCCCCCCCCCCCCNGGTTATGCTTTCACAACATTCTCTTTACCCGTGTGTAACGGATTTTTTTATTAAATAGCGTGCTTGCCAAAGAAATTCGAATGTTGATCATTTACCACATGACCTCACCTGTAGACGCAACACTACACTGCCATCTCAAAGACGAGGCCGTCCCTTTTTACAGCAGCACTGGCATGATCCGTGATCCCTCCCCCTCCTTATCCCATCCCCCAAAAACGCCTGCTAGTGTAAAATGCTGCTCTCCCCCCCCCCCCCACAGCCCACCCCCCTCCTACCAAGCAATCCTGCTTATCGAAAGAAATGTGCAGCTCTCCAATTACGGGACTACGCCATGCAACAACAGCAGAACGACTGCGCAGGGCCGCACGATTTCTGTTTTGAACCACTTGCACTCAGTGAGACGGTGCTATATCACGTGTCGGTTGTGGCTTCCCCACACCCAGGTTTCGCTGAAACGACTAGTGACACGCTTTCTCCCGAGTACAACCAACCACCAAAATGTCGCGAGACAGAGAAACAGGCAGCTGCAATACTCCGGCATCTCACGGAAAACATAAAAAACACACACACACGAGGTAGCGTAGCAGAAGAGAAGAGAAGCCGTTCAGCGATAAGATAGCCACCTACGGCAGCCAACCAATGGCAAGTCATCAAAAGAGCTGGCCTCCACAATTCACTCAGGTTTCTGGTATACTAGCTTCCCGTGTCTTTCACGTGCGCACACACATGCAGGCGTCAACACAAACATCTCTTCTTCGGGTACCCTACATCAAACCCCGCCCCCAAAGAATCACACTCTCGAATACAACGCAATTGAATTGGAAGTGAAATTGACAGACTACTGTCACCACTGCGAGTAGGTTACCTCCACCCTCTCTTGTCTCTTTCTTGTGATCGTCAAAACACCCACTTCACTGAACGAGAACAATTTTGAATATAAGTACCATAATCTTATCTGTTCACAGCCAGCTAGCCCCCAGTCTCTACACCAATTATCAACCGTTTTCTTCCTGCCGGCTCACTCTCCTCTCGAGTCTCTCTCTCCCTTCCTCTCTAACAATCGGGAACTTTCGAACCCGCTGGTTGGTTTGGCATTTACAAAACGCCTGCTGGCATGGATACTGATACTTGACAAAAGACCAATGACACCCTGTCACCCCTATCAACATGACCCCCCCTCCCGTCCCATTATACATAAATCCAACGCCCGGTGCCGTAAGGGCAACTAACTTTCATACAGGCCAACCTACCAGTGTGTTTTGCAGCCCTGTTCCCATCCTTGGTATTTACAGAAGTTTATTGGTGGTGCCAGGCGCCCCAAGCTCCAACTGGCAGACCCCCGCGCCCACAACAGTTATTCCATCACCGTCTCTTCTACCCCCGCGTCACGGACCCCTCTGCCGCTGCTGCTGCTGCCCCGCTCCTGCTGCTGTTTGACTGGGCAGACGGGGTGCGTCTCCAGTGCTCGTGCCGGGGTTCGCTGTATCAGACGGTACTGTGTCGACGGTGTGCAGATCCTCCGTGATGGCGGTAGTGATGCCGCCCGCCGACCTCCAACAGCTGATGCCATCGGCAACAACGTCGTCAGAAGGTGTTGCTTCCTCGCTGCCGCTACCCGTGCCCCCTCCGTCCAACGGCGCTCCCTTTCGCCCCTGATCCTTTGCATTTCGATCCTCCTCACTCGTGCCTCCCTCCCTACCCTCGTTCCCTGAAACCTCCTCCTCCTCCTCCTCCTCCTCCTCCTCCTCGTGCTGCCCCTTTCCGTGCTGCATATTTTGGATTTGCTGATTGTGCTGCTGCTGGTGGTCTGGCTGCTGCAGAAACTGCGGCATATTTAGGCCCGCCTTTCGCTCGGCCTCCATCACAGCAAAGTCGTTCCAAACCCCCCGTCCGTCCAAAAACTGGCCCATTGCCCCGGTGAAGCGAATCTTCTTTCGGGAGCGTTTGCTACCTCTTCGGGGGCGATGGGAAGTCCCGCTAGGGATCGCGTTGGCCTCGGGGGCTGGGCTATCTGCTGCTGCTGCTGCTGCTGCTGCTGCTGCTACTGCTGTATCGCCCCGGGAACAAGGATCCACTTCACCTAACTTTGTCGGTGCACCCCCACTAGCACCGCCAGGGCTGCAGTCACCCCGAGGGTCTGCCATGGCTTGTCGGTCTCGATGTCGGTCGCCTTGTGGGCCGGGGGGATATGTGGCTGCTTCTTCGTCGGTGGTTGCTGCGGCTGCTGCTGCCGCTACTGCTACCCGGCCGGACGGTGCTGATTTAAAGAACGGGGACAGGATCTCGTCGCATTGATCTAGCGAGAGCTGGCTGCCGTTGGCCGTGGGGGCGTGACACATCAACGGATGCGGCAGGGTCTACCGTGACGAGGGGTTGGGGGGGGGGGGGGGGGTTGCGTTCCTTGAGACCGTCGTCACTGGCGCGTGTAACAACCCGGTTGGCGTCAACTGCGCTGACCTCGTGAAAAAGTTCCCGTTCGTTAGTTCGAAAAAAGGTTTTCGTCAAGGGTCCCAAACGTTTGTTCAAGAGGGAGGGGGCGTGATGGTTTTATCCCCCCCCCGCAGTACTGCACACGTTCGGTGTGTCCAGCGGTCGGGAAGGTGCCACTTGACTTCTTCAATGTAAGACTCTGGGCACAAACTCTTCAGGACTACCTCAGGCGGGTTTCTTCATGGTATGTGTTTTCCAGCGCGCATTTCCTTCGCCCGAGCTGCGAGAGCCGAGAGCATATAATATCATAAATTGATAAATTGAACCTTTTGCGGCCAGATCGATGGCGTTTGGCGGGCTCCTAACATGAACACAACGAACACGCACTTGCTGCTGTGCGTGCTGCCTGGCGTGCTGCCGTGCGCAGGCGCACAGTTGGAATCTCCCTAACGCTCTTTGAAGTCAGCATCAACCGATCCGCTGTAGGTCTATATGGCGCAGTAGACCAAGCCTACACCGGTGGCACACGTTTTAGCTGTATGCTATGACGAACAAGCAACGCGCGCGTAGACTCCGCTTTATTAGGAGAAACAAATATACACACAGAAAGACTACCCGTTATATAGCGCATGAGACCGAGCCTGAAAGCGGCACACGTTTTTACGTCACGGGATACTGTCATATTTCGCGAATGACGTTCATAAGAGATAGATGAGACAATGACGAGAGACACATTGACTGCTGAAGTCATTTGAAGATCTGAACAAGTCAAAGAGAGGCTGCATCAACATCACGTCCTATTGTAGTGTCGAGATGGTAGAATAGTAAACGAACAGTCATGATTGTATGTAGCATACGTGGTAGTTCTGTGGTCAGAGAGTGGCACGGCGGTACCGGCGACGAAACAAACGCAGAGAAGAGGAGTTATTCAGTACTTCATAGTACGGCGGTGGTCCCGGCATAACGCCGGCAAATAATAGCTATGTTTTGCCTGAAACACTCACTGTAAATACTCCAACACATCCCGTTCGACTGTGGTTTTATCTCGAACCGGTAGTCTTTCTGTGTTTGTAATCATCTTTTCTAAACAAAATATTGTGGCATAGACCAGTATCGATTCAAAACACAAATCCCGTCATCAAATTTACTTGCAAATTTACCTAACATTGGACATTCGGCTTTCATTGTGCATCGCAACCCTCATGTTGCACTCAACAACATTGGCTGGCGTCGAGCGGAACGGTACCGGTCATCATGGGCATGAAACAACGGAAGGCAAGGCTTGGCCAGATGGCTGCTATGTGCCGCCTGGCCAGCAAGGGCACAGATCAAGATATCGCTGAGCTTCGGGGGATTCTGGATCACATCGCCGCCGAAAAGGTGACCGATTGACTTCCAGGGTTGAGCGCGTGGTATCCTTCCTACGTTTTAGGACGATTGCGTGGGGTGATTGTGGGCTATGAAGCAATGACAACATTTCCCAAGGTTGCTCATTGCTGTTATGAGGTTGTTCTGACCATTGTCTATGGCAGCATGTGCACTCATAGTGCAATCGATGAGTCAGTGAGTCGGGTCTGTTCTTCTTGGTGTCGGTGGTGATGGCTGCAATGTTCCGCAGCTTCAGAGCACCATAGGCTGCCCGCAGAGGAAGAACTCATGCTCACCTCCGACTAACGCAGCAGTATGCTGAAAAGCACAAGGACATGTGCACTTGTAAGACGGATCACTGCCGTTGCTTTTCTCTAGGAGCGAGACGCTGGGCTTTTCAGTCCGAGAGCTTCCGTGGCATGCAGCAGACAGGCTGCGCGCACGTATGGCGAATTCGTGTGCACGTTGGAGGGCAGGTGTGTCAACGTTCGGGTACGAGAGCATCGTCAACAACATTATATGGACAAATGACGAACTTTTCAGCGCTGAGAGCGCTGCGATGGTTTCTAGATCAGCAAGTGTGATCCTTCTTTCTCAATTGCCAGAAAAGCCCTGGCACGTGTAGCTAGCAGCGAAGCACTGCTGTTCTCTTTCATGGTTGCAAGCTCATGTGGGTTACAGTGTATGAACCCTTGGCCCTCCAGTCTCTGATGACGCCAGCTTTTCGTCGCGCCCTTGGTTGATGGCTGAGACTCGCAGTGCTAGCAAAGGGCAGGGAGAAGTGATCATGCTCACACGGGACAGTGATTTCGGCCGGATCAGTGGCTTTCTCCGAGAGGTATGATCAGTTCCCTTGGCCACGTCTTTATTGACTTTCTAGGCGTGAGAGTCGAAGTGCCATGTGCTGTGCATTACATTACCGAACCACCAAGTTACACGTGCATTTACCCACGCTTGAAGGCGTATCCGACACGAGAGAGTAGCGATGTGTAAGTCTGCACTTGAACCGGTGTACCTCCCCGCTAGGCAGTGATTTCTTCTGTAGCCATGACTCCCGGAATTCGTGCCGTCTGGCATCTTCTGACCCCACCTGCCCAAACACGCACACAGGCGTTCAATCTGACAGGAGGCGTGCTTATCACTCTTCCAGAGGACCGCCTCTTCGACGAAATGGAGCAGCTCGTACTCTCAACGAAGCACCTTCAAGGTTTGATCGACGCCTTCGTTCTCCGTCAGTCACCTCGCCGTGTGCTCAAGGTTGGTGCAGGCGCTGTGGCCGATTAGGTTCTTATGCATGGTCAGTGAGAAAGTTCTGACGAGTGTTCGAATGGACGAAACCTCGTGACGAGCGATTAGATCTTTCAAGCGGAAAATTCTAAGTTCCCGGTGTGGAATCCAGTCAGCAGGAACAAGTGGGTATCGGTCTCTTACGAACAATTTGCTCAAGTGGAAACTGCTTGCACCTTCGTTGAACAGGGTTGGCGGCGCTCTTGCCAGTGTACCAGATACGGGATGTCCCTTACTTCTGCCAAATGCACCATGATATACTATGGGCGGGGGGAAGATGTGAACACACGTTGCCTCAAGTGTTCATGCCTCTACATCTGCAATTTGTTCGGGCCTCAGGTCATGAAGGCTACTTTTCCCATCATGCGATGCTTGGTGGGCGGCAGCCACGGTGATCTGGATGCGGATGAAGCAACAACCCTCGCTTTATATCAGCTATTAGAACTGGTGCAAGTGAGACTGTTATAGTATTTCGGCCAGTGTTGATGTATCATATCTAAGCGGTCAAAGGCAGCTAGCTCTCGCCTGTTCGCGCGAGTACAGAGCGATGGTTGGTCGACTTCGTGCTCGGCTTACGCAATGTGTCGACCTATTTTTATTCCCTCCAGGTTATCGATGTTGCCCCGAAGAGATTTTTTACACCCTCGATAATTCTTTCGCCACTCTTCCGAGCCCTCTGTTGGCTTTCAAACTGAATGATATGAATCAATGCTGTGGATTGTCTCGCACGGACACGAACAAGGTACCCGCTAACCTCGAGACGGTGGACCGCGCGGGACGCCTTAGTGAGCTCCTTGTAGCAGTGGGTTCCGTCATTGGGTACAGCTCGTCTTCTGTGCAAGTGGCAGTGGCATGCCAGGTGGTGTGGAAACTGGCTACTTCGACTGGTGAGCGCGCCACAGGTGTTGTTCATGCACGGAAATGAGAAGACACAACATGTAGGGTCCACGAACACAGCAGATCCTCGGAACGATCTCGCCAGCTTCTTTCAGCAGGTTCAGAGACCATGAAAATCTCGGTTGGCGATTGCACAGACTCTGCGTACTCTCGTTGCCTCTTGGAAGATTCCCACTGGTACATGGCAAGCACTTCTAGGTATTGTCTGAGGGAATACAAGTGCTTTTTGGGACTCCGACATCCCTCGATTGCTTCAAGGTATAGTTTTCCCGTTTTCTCTTTTGTTTTATAGGCACGAATGACTCTTGGCCCACAGCATTACGACTTGTTCGTTTCGTCACGCTCCCGTTGATTTATTTCGCACATCCACGCTTGACATGTCCAGATATGCGGCGACGTATGCTGGAGCACGGGTTGCAGAACAAGCTTTGGGCACTGGCGGAGAGCATCGCTAGGACGGTCGAAACCCCAGAGAACCGGAAGGCGCGACAAAAGGCAGCCGCAGAAGCTGCAGCTGCAGCTGCCGGCATTACCGGTGGTTCGAGGGGGGCGGACGACAGCCGAGGCGGAGAAGGAGTGCCGTTGCTCCTTCAAGAGGTGACCGGAGACAATGAAGACGAGGCACACACCTCGGAGGGCGAGGAAGGGGGTGGAGTAGCCGTAGTGCTCGAGGCCGGACAGGAGCTGGACGAGGTAGCCGCCAAATGCCTAGGGGCAATCTCGCTGATGCTGCGGTCCCAGGAGGCTGCAGATTCCTTGGCAGGGTCGGAAGGCTACCACAATGGCCTCGAGATTCTCTTGGAGTTGGCGACTGCAGGGCAGAGGGGGTAAGGGACGGCAACACTCCATCCTGTCATGTTGTTTCAGCCATTTGATTCGTCAGTCGATGCGTTGATGCACGTGCTCGTGCGAGTGTGCGCCAAAGACCCCTTCCGCTTCGAAGCACAGACGCAGTTGTGGCATCCCCCCTTCTTCACCCCCCCCGGTGTTTGCCATCGGGGTTGGGTTTTCGTCGCTTTGTCGCTTGGCAACGACGTTGTAAAACAAGCCGCCCCCCCCGGTGTTAGCCATCGGGATTGGGTTTTCGTCGCTTGGCAACGACGTTGTAAAACAAGCCATTTCACTTCGTGACCTCGGCAACCAAGTTACCGGTTTTTTTTTTACCTCCGGTTTTTTTTTTGGCGGTAACCATTATGGTGGTCGAGTAGATCATGTTGTGCGGGGTCGAGAACCCTC